ACCAGTAGGTAAGTTTAAGGCGATAAAATTATTGGAGTTGCATTTGGTTACATCGCAGGCAGCGCTAGACTTCTATTGGTACTTTATCAAAGCGAATTCTTGATTGCTCTGCATTTTCTTCCCATTATGTATTAAACAAATGGCTGATTCATACTTCAAGTTCCTGCATGATTTGGTCCAGGGCGTCTGCAGAATTATCTTTGTAAGCTACAGCTGCTCGAACTGCGTCTGTAAATACTCGCACAACATTTGTGCCGTTTGCTGCCGAAACGAAGTAGAAGGGTATGTTGTTTTTCTTTGCGAAGTTGAACGCTTTATTCGTCACTTCGATATCTGCTTTAGGAAGAATCAGTTAGTGTCGATTCGAGACTCACTGTCAATTTTGTTGGCTGCGCAGAAACATGGTATTTCCGGGCGATATTTCCGCAGCTCTGACAACCAGGTGTTTAAGTTTTTATAAGTTATTTTTCGCGTAACATCAAAGACCAGGACGCATGCGTGTGCCTGGTGGTAGTAGGATGGGTGCATGCTCTGGAACCTCTCCTGCCCTGCGGTATCCCAAAGGTCTCCGGACTTAGGTGATTGTTAAGAAATTTCTTACCAACATCAATCAGTCGGTCTTCAAGTGTCATTTGATGCTTGTGTATGTTGAGGGCATATGTTGATAATTGATTAGACTGACTATGTGTTCCTGGTTAAGGTCTCCAGTCATTGCTACTAGCTTACTACGAGCGCTGATTGTCTGTGCCGCTACGGGGCGAACAGTGCGACGCATATGCAAAATAATGCCATCGAGTAAAAATAACAAAGCATTTAAACATATACTTAGTTGGTAATAGAATGGTCTCGTCTACAAAGACCTCTAAGCAATATCGCAACAGCCAATTTTCTAGAAGCACTGCGATGGGTGAGATACGATCTCGGGGTTTAGGCGTGATACAATGTGTTCAGTCGTATCATTTTTCGTAGAAAACTATCGAGGTGGATCAAAGCACTCTTGACAAGGCGAATATAAGGGCTAGCTGCTAGTAGTGGTTACATTGCCGTTTTTTGTGAATGTGCTGTGCGGAGACGTGGTTGAACTGCATTTAAACGTATAACTTCAACACAAATATGTGCCACGAAAGGATACTATCCACTAAGCAAGAACCTTTCAACCAGTCTAACCTAGTGTAACATTAGTACTTGGAAGTTACTTTGATTTTCCAACAGCACTATCGCCTAAGCATATAACCTTGACTCGGCATGCCGTCCCGGCGTCAGAAGCGTCATGCTCTGAGATGTCGCTCATTTTAAATGGTCTTTATGGGTTGTACAACACTATTTAAGGATTCAAACGAATGCCTGGCCAGGCGGTAGGGACCGCGATTGTCATAGAAATCATGCATTAGTATTGCTAGCATTCATCTATTTATTCCTATTAAAGAGTATATCTTCGAAAATTTCTACGAGTCACCTCACACATTTATTTG